CTGAGGTATAAACTTCATGGCTGAATGTCATACAGACCACAACATACAACTATAGGCATATGTGCTATGGTAATATTCAGACATGATGTACATATCAAACGTGACAGGAAAAAAAAACACAGAAAGTGTTTACATTTTATGAACGTCCCAGGCCGCAAGGGCGCCTGGGACGTTAATAACAAAAACGCTTCAGGGACGATCATATCCACCTGGCCTTAATCGATCCAAAATAAACTTTACATTGCTTTTAATAATTGAGGAAAGTACGCATTGTTGGGTGATTTTGCTTTTCAATAGCCGACTATTTTGGTTCAGTGACCATGCACAAAAGAATTGCAGACGAGGCTTCGAGGAAATAAAGAAGATCAAGATTATCCATTGTTTTCCCAGAGCCTCGTGTGTGTTCTTTTGTACATAGTAATCGAACCGAAATATCTAAAGTTGACTACCGTATTTACTCGAATAGACGCCGCCCCCGAATTGACGCCGCACTTAAAGCTCAAAATATTAATAGACGCCGCCCCCGAATARACGCCGCATCTGGGTGCGGCGTCAATTTGAGGAAATAATAATACCATTGTTATACTACACATTTTTGCTCTCAACAGCTGTTAAATTCCGACATTGATGTTGAAATAGAACTTTAACTCCGGTTAAAACCATCGATTGAATAGAGAATAGACAAAATGAACACGACATTTACATATTGAGATACGTAACTGTTTGTTAGTAAAAAAATAAAATATAAAATACTTTATGCAGTAATGAATAAAGTGTTTTTTTAATAAACGCCGCCCCCGAATAGACGCCGCCCTCGAATAAACGCCGCAGCTGGATCCTGAAAAATAAAATAAACGCCGCGGCGTCTATTCGAGTAAATACGGTATTCCATTCTTACTGTTGAAATGCTTGGTTTGAACTGCGATGAATAAATTGGTATGGAAATGTGATCGTCGCAGTGAAAGAATAATCTAAGTGGTTATTAATAAATGTTTTCCCTAAATAATTTCGGGCTTCGACCTCTGCGATATAATGACCACACACCAATATAGTTGGCTTCATAGCTCAGTTGGTAGAGGACTGCACCGGCATCGCAGCGGTCATGGGTTCGATTCCCGGCGAAACATGGGTTCGATTGMCGGCGAAACAAATTTTTAATATTCGCTTAGATTATTCTTTCACTGCGACAATCACATTTCCTTACACATCCATTCTTACTCATGTTTTTATCCCCTTAATAGCACAGTGTAGAATTTAGGAGATTGTCTCACAACTCAATTTTGACATAGGGGTAGTCCCGCATGGGAAACTGAGGGATCCACGTCGTCTCTATCATGGTTTGAAATCAGTTTTTTGGTTCCGCTTAGGAGTGATAATGACGAGAATTACCACCAACTGAGTTTGTGTTCCATTCTAGAGCATAAAACTGCTCAATGTAGGCTGAAGGTGTAAGATCTGATGCTAGTGTCAAAGTACAAATGAAATCGAGAAACCGAACCAAAAAGACGTTTTATTGACTGGTCACTCTTAGGGGTGAAATTTCATCGGGGTGGCATTGGTGGCCTAGTGGTTCGGCTACTGGCCTCTCACCGCTGTGGTCCGGGTTCGATTCCCGGGCACGGACCATATGTGAGTTTGAGTTTGTTTGATGTGTTGTTCTCTCCCTCGCCACGAGGGTTTTTCTCCGGGTCCTCCGGTTTTCCTCCCTCAGCAAAAATCAACATGTGAGGAGTGTTGTGTGCTAAAATACTTAATGTACAGGTAGTGAGTGTGAGAGTAGGGAGGGCCACGAGTTTATCAGTCTTTGACTGTAATGTGCTACCCTCGTAAAATAAAGTTATTTATTTATTTATTTATTATTTATCGGTGTACGCCCATCATCATTACGATGCAGATGCCTATCAGCGGTAATTTTTAGGATTTCCGAAGAGGAACCATGGCACTTTGTGAGATTTCCCCACTAGGACGATACAATAGCCTGCTTGGCGGCTCTAGGGGAGGGGGGAGCCGCCACGCAGGCTAGAGATACAATAAATCTGGTGACACGTTTGCGCCTTGCGCTGTTAACCTAAAGTTAACGCCTTCAAGAAAGCATTCGCTCAATCAGAATGAGAAATGGTAAATAAAGGGCTGACAATGAACAAGTCAATAAAAAAACGTTATTGACTATATTTCAGACTGTTCACGGCAAACGCTGAAGCAATCTATGATTTGTAAATTCTCTTGATAGTTTTGATTCGCTGCGCCGAATTACGTCCAAGTTGGTTCCACAAAAAGATCAACTTTTCGTATTCTGAAAATAACAATATTTGTATCTATATACTACAAAAATAGTTACATCTACTAACAGTTCACTGATGTATCAAAACTATCCAGATTTAGGAAAATATAATTCTTTGACATGCATACACCAATGTTCAAACAAAGGTAATGCTTGCATGCGAGACTATTTCCAAGTAATAATCTATAGGCTAGATGTTCATTTCCAAGTAATAATCTATAGGCTAGATGTTCATTTCCAAGTAATAATCTATAGGCTAGATGTTCACTTTGTAATAAGGAAGGTTAAAGCAAGTGGAAATCTATGAAACTTTGGCGCATTATTTTTTTTTATGGTTAAATCAAATTGATAAGTCCAATTTGAATTGGTCATGGCACTCGCCTAAAAAACAATCGGTTCCCGATTCAATTCTCCCTAAGAACACGAGGAGTTAAATTATAAACTTGCGTCAGATCAAGACGTTCTACAGACACCGAGCGGTCACCGCAAAGGTAGCCTCTTCCACAACAGTCTTCTCAGGTTTCAAAATCGCGATAAAAGGGCGGATCTATTGGGGGATGATTAGCTTGGCTACAATAGCCATCCCCCATTCTATAGTTCAAAACTAGAAACATAGGAATTATGATATAAGTAGATAAAATTAGAAACTGCATCTAAATGGGACTTGATGCGAAAAGCAACTAAAGCAGCGTTCATCTGAAAGAGAAATCAACTTTCCAAAACCCTAGAACTATCTATTTTCTTGGGTGATATTCTTCTGATTTTCTGGAACCGTCACCGAGCCTTGAGAAGAAGCTAACRAAAACAGATCAGATTTTTTCTGATGCTTGTTTGCAATACAATATGAAACGATCATGACAGCTATCAAGACTATTGATACCCGCTGACCATAAGTATTTGAATGATCAGATATTACTTCRCATGCAATATGGCTATAGATCACTGTACATCTGTGCACCACGTAGACGTTGTTGACAGGCTGTTAGGTCATAAGAAATACGTGTCGTGTTGGCTCTCTCTTTTCCTATGGCGTCTTCTAATTGATTAGCGTACATCTTCAGCGGAAGCAACATCTTCTCAGCTCGTTTGAATCTTTCGGTGTACGAAGCGATGGAGTCTTGTAGTAGATTAATGCGTTGTGCGTACTTTGCGTTCTTCGTAGACAAGTTAGAGGACTTTGAGTGGATGTTGTTGATGCGAAGTCTGTACATTTCCTTCATGTCGTTAAGCATCTTTGCCCTGGCATTCATGGCGTGTGCATGATCCTGTGCATTATGAATGGCAGCTTGTTTGATTGTCAGTTGTCGCGATAGTTCTCGGAGACGTGTCAGCGCCGAGTCGCGTGCTGCGTTAGCTTCTGTAATTTCATATTCGAACATTTCCTTGTCTCGGACTGTCTGTCTAGTGACATTCTCTGCTCTCCGTTTATTGCCAAGGGACTCTTCGACAAGGCGCTGGCGCTCATAAAGCTTTCCTCTGGCCTGTTGCAGTTTGATTTCCAGTCTTTGCAACTTATCTTCTCCATCCTGGATTTTTGCCTTTAACTCGCTTGTCTGCATCYTGCTCTTCTTATATCGTTGGTTGGCGAGAATTCTCGATTCCCTGGCGACTCTCTCTTCTTCTTCTGCTTTGTGGAGTTCTTTCTTTAATTCAATGACTTTGTCTCGCATGGACCCAGTCCCTGGCTCAGTGTATGTCATCTCGTGGTGTAAACGTTCAAAGGTTTGTATAGTGTTAGGTGAGACAAGTGGGTCTTGATCAACGGAGCTTCGACTGTCGCTTCTCATCGTATGGTCACTTGACACTGACGATGACCTGGAATGACTCTCTTCTCTTCTGGTCATGTAATCAATACCATGTACAGGATAATGGACCTTGCCATAGTCATGATCCGAATGACTTCTCTTCTTGACAGATAAAGATGGATTAACTTTAGGTTGTTTGGGTATTTTAGTTGTTGGTTGTCCTTGTCGTATCGCTTTCAACATGTCTGCTGATGGTGCGGCGACGGACGGCTTGGGATTTTTAGGGGGGACGCAAGCATGCAGACTCTTAGGCTGAAAAAGGAACACATTACATTCAACGCACAACGAAGCGGGAAAAATTAAAGCATTTTATGAAGCTGCATTAACTAGCTGTTTGGTTGTGGTTTGGACCCTGTGCGAGTGCTTGCAGGAGTTAACATGCAGTTAGATTAGCAAAAGAGTTAATGTGATTAGCGTACATTACAAAGACAAATGTTTAAGGCGAGTGTCAATCGTTTACCATGGGTAGCCCCTTGAACTCTGTCTTGCTGTAGTCCAGCGATGTACCATATTAACGAGGCAAGAACTTCATCGTTATTGAAATATGCTGCATACTACGTCTTGACCCAATCAATAAGTCGACTCGACGAGAGGAATCAAAATGACCAAAAAAAGCTATAGAAAGCTTGTATCGCATACAGTTTTCACTGTATATCACATTTGTTAGAACCATCAAACAACAACGGCAACAACAACAACAACAATCGGCAATGTTAAAACATAAATATGACTAATAATATCGTGCAAGAAAAGTGATCAGTGAATGAACACAACGACTACAAAGCTTTGTATGGTTGAACTGAAAGCAGCAAGGCGTGGATGTACGACAAGTGTGGAAACAAGTTTTTAAAACCCTAACTCACCCCAACCCCAACCTCCCCACCTCCCAAGTGCCACATAAACCCTACCCTTTGCATCCCAACCCCCTCATAAAACTAAAGAATATAATATCAGAAAAAATTTAAATGTTTAAGAGTTCTGCAAGTGCTGAATTCGAAAGTATTGAACAGAGTTAGAAACTCTGTATCGAATTTGTATCGAGTTGGCACATTTTAGTTATGGCAACTGAGAATGAATGAGCTCTTTCCGTTGATCATGTTCCAAAATTCGTAAATGTCTCATTTAAAGTGTAATTTCAGTGAATATGCCCCAATTTCAAAGCAAATGAAGTAATTCAAATATTTGACGAATATATGGCTCACTTAATACCTATCAAAAACTTATAAGGGAAAGTTTTRTTTTCGAGTCATCGCACAGCAGCGATATTTTGGCTCAAAACATAAAAGAACAAAAGGATGGAGTAAATGAGTCATTATTAATTTACTCCAACATTACGAACGACAACGAAAATTATTCTTCGGAATGGGATAATTTCATTAACAGGTTAGAAAATCAAAAATCTTACAACTTTCTCAGCGTTTGGTACACTCTTACAATTATAGGATTTTCGCAGTGCATCAAACGGCATAGTTARTGCTACCTACATCTGTAAGTTTAAAGAACCATACGAACATGCAGTAGTGTAAATAACAAGATAATAGCAAGATACTCACTCCAATGATGGGCTGTTTACAGGAGTGACATTGAGGAGCAAAGTGTCTATTGTAGCACTTCTCGCAGTACAGCTTGCCTCCTTCCTCCACAAAACCTTGACTCTGCAATGAATCACCACATCCTGCACACGTGAAATGGTCTGGATGCCAAGATCGTCCAATTGCACTCACGAAAGGTCCACTAGTCAAAGCAAAGATTGGTAAGTCAAACACCGAACAAATGAGAAGCGACCACACGAATCCTAGAACTTTTGCGCAATTTTCTCTCGTATCAAAATTCGAGTTTGGACCAATCAGAACGCAACTTTGAACAACAGATCATAATATGTAAAACAAAACAAACGATGGCAAAGGTTCTCGTATGGCCCTTTAACTCAAATGGAATCTATGGACACAAGGAACGGAGAGAGGGAAAGTGACATTGTTAGAACTTACAAAATTTCTTCCCCACATGCATCACAGTAAGGAGTACGTGAGCCATCAGCAGGTTGAGGTGGTTTAATTGGCTGRCGCTTAATTTCTTGATGGCTCGGAGTAGGTCCAGGAGGAGCTCTAGGTGCGTTGGGTGCGGAGGGAACATTGTGATGATTATATGATGGTGCATGAGGGCGCTGTGTTTTAAAATTAGGCCCTGATGATGGCTCCTTGATGGCCATTCCAGGTAATGCTACTGGTGGTGCTTGGCCAGGTCTTGATGGTGGGGGTGGTGAGGAGTATTCTGGTTGCGATTTCTGGATAGGCATAACAGGTCGCGTTGGCATTGGTGTTGTTGACGGTTTTGGTCTATCACCACGATCACGGCTAAACACACTTGGAGGGGTTTCTGTTGATAATAAACACCAAAATGGTTATGTGTAATATATAAATATGATCGGGAGACCTTTAATGTGAGTAATTAAAAAACTGCAAGACGCAAGTGAGGAGTTTTTGCACTCACAGTGTTGAATGCCCATTTAGGTCGGACGTGAATATTTATCGAATTCCAACATAAATTAAAACAAATTTTCTCAAAAACTTGAAAATAAAATAGAGAAATTCCAAGTTAAAGTTGTATGTAACTCAAGACAAATCTCTTCCACGTCAGATTCGGTCACAGCAATTCAAGACACTGATTAAGAGCATCTCTCTCGTTCGAGATTTTAGAAAAAGCAGACGATTTTTTAGATATCGATCAGATTATTAACGAGCTAAAGGCTTCATACTGAGGAACACCTTTGTCATCATTTTATATTTATCCTAATATTTATTGAATAATTTCCTAATATACGTACTCAAACTGTGAATTTTTGACATTTTTATACTAGTTTTTCTCCTTCATTATCGCCCTCGCCTCGAATAGTCTTGGACTAACTGCGAGGGTAAACTTCAAATGTAAATAAGGATGATTCATAAATAAAACTGTTATCTGTTTCCATTGGGTTAACCTAATGAATTATTAATGAGCTTAATGATTGTACCGTTGAGAAGTTAAAATGCCTCGCAAAATGTACCATGAAGTAATATTTACCTCCTGAATCAACAGCAGATTGTAACATTTGAAACGATTTTGACTGAATATTTCTGTGATCATCTTCAGGCTCGTATGCTTCTGGAGGTGGTGGTGGTAGATCATCTAAACGATTTAAAAATGTTCTAAATACCCAAACAAATAAAGCACCACATTGCTGCAGTTCTGAAAATTTCTCAATAAAGCTAATCAGACAATCAAAAACAACTGCATCTGTCCTCTTTTGAATGCTCCATGAATTTCCAGAAATAAGAACACTTTCAACAGACAGAGCGCCATGTTAGGCATCATATGATTGATCTTATAAAACATTATGTTATAAAAGACAATGAACTTTTAAATATTGAAATCGTGTTTTTCCAGGCCTGGACAATTAAAATACTTGTATAAAATAGTCAATAAGACCTACTAGTCTACTAGTCTAAACTATTAAGATTTCAGTATTGTCAATATTGCAAAAACAATACGAAATGCACTCCATACATACCATCATCTTCATGCTTCTGCAAATGCCTTTGCAGCATTTTAAAACTTTTCGATTGWACATTAGGGTCAGGTGGGTTGCCCCAGTTAGGAACTTGAGTTTCTTCGTCATAATTGACTAAAAAATATTATTTACAAAAATTAATGATGAAAGTAACAATAAAACATACTGGGGGTGTGCCGCACGACCCTCAAAACCCTTACCCTATCCCAGACCAATTTTTGTGATTTTTATGATTTTACATACCCTACCCCAGACTAAGAGTTTAGTATATAGTTGTACCTTCTCCATCATCAGAAATTGCCAGTTTAAATCGTTGAGATAACATTTCTTCTTCAATCTCTTTCTTCTTGGCTCTCAATGCAGCATCAGAATTGTAGTCTGTTTGATCATGTGGATTTGTACTGTTAAGCAATCCAGTTTACAAATCAATGAATAGACATAAAATATGTGGGTTCAACTTAAGAGGGAGATGCAGCGTAAAAAAACATTGTATCATCAAAGTATTTATTAGTATGTAGTTGCAATATGTCCCATTTTAGTGTAACTTAATTTAAAATAAATAAATTGGAAACTTTCATATCTTTACAAAGAAAAGATGTTTCTCCATCCCCATCCTRCAATGTTGTTAGTCCTGGTTGTAACACATGGTGGTCACTATCCAGCAAATGGCAACACTGATGTGGGTTAAAAAGATGATATTGGTGAACACCTTGAAGATATGCATGGAAGCAATGGTGACCGAGGAGTGAGAGCGCCYGGCCTGTCACCTCTGTGGACCCTGTTTGAATCTTGGTCAAGATGACATATGTGATTTGAGTTTCTTTCGCTCCATTTTTTTCTCCCTCAGTAAAAACGAATCAGTCGACATTGTTGTGTAAAGAAAGCGCATATCCGTCAGCTCGCCTATGTGTAAATGTATGAAAATGTGTCTAGAATATAGCACATTGACTTGAGAGCATGTCCAGCTGTGTCTTTTGCAATAGTCTCCTTCACGGTTACCTGCGCCATGTTGAAAGGTAGCCATCATTGCATGCTCAACGGTCGTCTTGCTTCGATGCAAAGGCACGGCTATCTTTCAACATGGCGCAGGTAACCGTGAAGGAGACTATTCAGCACCCATGCTGCCTTTTCCTTTTCTTTTCCSTTTTTTATGCAATTTGAGTCTATTGGCAACAACAATTTTGTCACAATTATCCTTAACATTAATCCAGTTGTTGTGCAATATCTCATAGTTCTAATTTTGYTTCAGTCAAAACTCCAAATTGATTAACAAGACAATTCTCCCTAAAAACCAAATAAAATGTGAATTTATTGTCTGATTCCATGATATAGGATTGAGACTGGGTACAGTTTTTTATTTAGGTAACTTTCCAAGATCCAATTAAGGAAATAATAATGAAATCAGGCAATACTTTCAGAGTTCATGAAGTGATTAAAATCAGTTCATTGAAATTTGAAATTCATATTAATTAATGTGGGCAAAACACTGCAGATGGTGTGGTTGCCACAGAGAACTGTTGGTGGAGTAAACATATTTTTATAAATTGCAGTAATTTACAAATAAATGTTTGGCTTTGATGACATATTTTTTTGAAAGTTACCTGCGTGCAGGCCCTCCTGTGTAATGTGAATATGCTGGAGCCATGGGTGAAGATGGTTTGGGTGCAGTAGGAGGTGGTCCAGTTCTTACAGATGGTGCACTTTGAACACCGGGTGATTGCTTGGGTGGTTGGTAAGCTGGTGCACCAAATGGTTTTGGAATGGCATTGTACTTGTGGTCAACTTTAGCTGAATGAACCACTTCTGTTTTTGTTAATGGTGCACGGCCTTTTTGTGGATTGTCACCCCTAAAAGTACATAATTGTGACTGATTAGATTGGCTAATGTAATGATTTACAACAGCATTGTGTCTGTCATATAAAGTATTTATCTTCAATGGACATTCTATAGGATTTTCTATAAGATTTCTATAAGATTTATTGTTGATGAAAGCCTAACTTAAGGATCGACATAATCATAGTTAATCCTTGCAAGGCTGACTCAACTCAAAATGACTTATTATACATATAAAAGCCTTTTGCATCATTTATCCTTAATTTTTGAGTAATATTCTTTGTTAAATTTGTTGTTACAACATGAACAGCCTTTTTAGATGATACAAAACAAGCGCCTTCTTATAACAAATTTGTGTTCGTCACATAAATAGCATCTGGTAAGGTAAATGAACAGCAGTTATTTCTAAGAAATAATACTTTTGAGGACTTGTTGAGCACTGTTCATTCCATCAGATGAAAGAGCAATTTTATGTTAAGTTATCTTTTTACAAAACAACAACATTTAAAAAAAAGTGTATATAAAAATGCAGAAAGTAAATTTGAATGTGAAATGTGAAAGTGAAATGCAAAAATAATAAATGGTAATTATGATCATCAGGAGACGACTTTCATAATGGCTAACACACACATAAAGAATACACTTTGATAACAGCTATCAGAGCTAAGGATAATTTCCATATAAAATTTTACCATAACTTGCAGAATTCTCGCGCGCTGATTGGTCGAGAGCTGTGTCAATCCTAGGACAGACGGATGAAATGACGAATCGCTCGCCAATGGAGCCGTCGTGCTAGAAACGGTTTTGTTTTGAAAGTTTTACTTTGTTTTCAGCTTTTTTATAMTGGTAAAAAAAATTCGCAGGCGATTTTCCATTGTCTGTACTCTTATTGACAATTTCAACTTAGCAGTGAAACCACTCGCTTACGCTTGTGGTTCCACTTGAGTTTTGAGCATTTTCGACGTCAATTTCATTGTCAATAAGAGTAAAGACAATGGAAAACCGCTAGCGAATTGTTTGTTGCTGAAGATTTCCATAATGTCATTATAAGTATACCAATGGCACTTTCCCCCCCATAGGCTACCCAACTATTGCTTGAGAGAAAGAAAAGAATCAACGCGCATGCTTTTCTACTAGTATCGGCGCGCACTCTTAGTGAAATGCGGATTACCTGACTGGTATACGTCATGATCCCGTGCCTCGTAGGATACAAACTAGTCTGTCACAAACTAGTTTGTATCCCGCGAGGCGTGGGATCGTGACGTAAAGTAACCCGCAGCGTGCGCCGATTCGATAACATACCAGTGAGGCAAGAGATCAATGACGTAATACCACAGGAAACCCGCATCGCGCGCCAATGCGATACGATAATATAAGCGTGCGCATTCATTCTTTTCTTTCTCTCAAGCAATAGTTGGGTAGCCTATGTCCCCCCTCCTTAATTTGCTAACACTCTGAGAACGAGCTAGAAAGCTGGCAGTCTGGGGACGAGAATGTGAAGTCTTGGACATGCACGGTTAAACAACGTTCCAAAGGTAAGACTATTTTATAATTATTTTTTCAAAAACTTAGCTTGCTTTTTYGTCTATGATGAGTAAGCCTTTTGTTTAACCTTCTGGTTTTGGCCGATAACATAAGACTGTCAAAACAGTTTTCCATCTCTAAAATGACTTCTGCTATGTTTTCACATAYAAATGCTCTTTGAAAGCAATTTAAGCTTACTGAGACAATTACGATAAGAATGCCAACAATATACGATGTMCTGTATAAAAAATTATGTTTCTTGAAACTGTAGTGAACAGCTTTAATGACATGATACATTAYCTCATTGAGGGCGGCCTTGCAAACTTAGTAAAAAGTTGGAAGTGCGCTGATTCGGCCGGATAAACTTCAGCGAAAGTTGACRGATATTTTCTATTTTTCAGTGAATCTTTTTTTTTATTGACTGATACAAGGTTTATATTTTTATATTTCTCTAGACAAGTCGGGGGAAAAAAACCCAAAAGATTAACTATAATCAACTAGCAACTAGCACATGATATCCTATCTCATTTCCAAAGGGTTTATAAGTCAACTAAATCCGAATCCCAGTGATTGAGATACGTGGACTAGCTCATGAATAACATGAGGGCAAATTAGTTTTTAAATTGCCCTCATTAATTATTGATGAGGRAAATTTAGTTTCTAAATTGCCTTCATGAATAATTAATGAGAGCAATTTAGAAAGTAAACTGCCCTCATCATGAGGGATGTTAGGATGTCCAAATCAAAAATCAATGGTTGAGTAAGTGCCAGCTAGCCCAAAGCTGTGCAATAAATTGCATTTATCTAAATAAATAACCATAATCTTTTTATAGAATTCCAAAGACATCATTAACAGTATTATTGTTTGGGCATCATTGTGAATTTTGCACTTAATGGGTCATGAACCTGGGGTGTAAACATGCATAACAACAAGCTTCTATACAATTTATTCTTTTATGRAAGATCTGACATATATAACTGGAAAAAAACCCTGAAAAGGCTGTAAAACATAATTAAGTTATTATATAAATATGAATACATATGATACACACACTGTGGCCCTACTCTMAAGTTAATGGATATACATGTACCAGCAGTATGCCTCTAATGTATTTTAATTCTACAAAGCTTTTGTTCTTTGTTTCAGAGGATTTGAAAGCTTAAAAGGAAAGCAGTAGGGGGAGGCAGATTMTTCAGTTGTTATAGGAACATTAATTCAAGAAGTTTGCAATTTTGGTAATTTGAAAAAACATTTTAATATGTTTCAGCTAAATTGTATGGATAATTAATTAATTATAGATTTAGATTTTAAGTTATTGATATCAAAAGCAAATGTTAATATATTGTGATATGAAGTTTAACAACAAAGGGTCTTTATCATCTCTTCATTCAAATATGAATGCAATTTGTGAAAGAATATATTATACAGCTTGTTTTATCAGTTGAAAACAGAAAATTTAGTTTAAAACAATATATGTAAAATATAGTGAATCAGAGCTTACCATAAACTGACATAATATTTCAAAGTTCATAGCATAATCATACTTTGGTCCTGTAATTACGRTATGCTCAAGTGCCTTCTGGTATTACTGTAAAAAATTGAAGTTCTAGCACTGACCTTGAGTAAATTATGTTAGATTTGGCTTCTTCATGATAAGTGGCACAAGTGCCAGAGGGTAACATGATTTAAGGAACAATGTTTTGTACTCTAATTGTTGAAAAGAGCAGATCATCATAATTCAATTAAAGATATTAAAGCGACATAAGACTACAGCTACAAAGTCTGAACAAAAAAAAATGATAACAAAACAATAAAAAAAATGCTAAAAATGACACTGTTACTAGCCTTAGTGAGAAAAACATTTCCATATAAAAGAACTAACAAACAAGACTTTCAACAGAGTATCATCAATGTGATCGTATCATCAATGTGAAACTAACTGAGTGAATATGCGATTAATAGTTTAACCACATAGTACATATGATAATTGCTATCAAATTATGAATGCTCATAAGGCTCAAATCCTCAAATGTCGTGGTTGAAATGCGAAACAGGCACATTATGAATTATGTAAACCTTGTACAACAATAAAAAGGGTTGAGCAACGATAAAACTGAGCAGTGAACATATAAAGACCCATTTTACATATGATAAATAATAATCCAKCAGATCAGTGAGTTGACGCGTTATTAACAATATTTCACTCGAGTAGAGATGAATTATGCAAAGTATATTTATCATGGTTGTCAAACAACAGCAATTTGACTTGCGAAAATTGAATTATCGAGATACGAAAATCACATCATTTCTATTTTGATTGTGCCTTTCAAAGGCGTGGAGCATGCACGCTTACAGATTACGGTCCCGTTAAGTTTAGTTAGGATTTACAAGTGACGGATCGCGATAGAAAAAATACGAAGTATAAACACGACTCCAGGAGGTGTCTAACAACCCGTGTGAAATCTACAATAACTAACAAACGAGAAATCGACATAAATTCATTTGATCAAAGATTCGATTAGGTTGTTTTCACGAACATTGCTACAATGCAAATATCAATTTTGATCTGTGATATCTTACGAGTGATACATAAGGGTTGGCATGAGGGTTAAGCGCATTTTGAGCATGATTTTCTTCGATCGTGTTACAATAGATTGCCAACAAAGCAAAACTAAGCTAAGAATCCACCAAGATGTTGTTTAAACACCATCCAATCGTGATATAATTGTCGTAATTAATTGTAACAAAGCAATAAAAAGATTCTTTAATGGTGACTTTGAACCCAGAAATAAGGAATTTGTTAAGGTGAATGAGCAGTCAGCAGCAATTGCAATGGAGGTGTTCGGGCATTCAATACAAGAATAGCTATTAGTCTCTAGTCATTGGTATATAATTAAAGGCTTTCTTACCGCAAAACGCTCAGATCAAGAGTGTTCCCTGTGTTTTTAATGGCGTCCTGGGCGTCCATGTGAGACATATTCCTTGTGTCTTCATAGTTAATAGACACGATAGTGTCGCCTTCTCTAAGGCCATTATACGAGGCTTTACCACCAGGAGTTATCTACCAATAATAACTTAAGAGTTAACCATATATGAACCACGTCATTATCAATGTTTCAGTTTGTCTACTAACCTTGCTCACAGTCAATGGCGAACAGAAATCTTTTCCTCCAGTCAGCCGAAAGCCCCATGGCCCACCACCCTCAAGTCTAATATTAAACTCTTGATTGGCCATAGCCCTGAACGAAACAACAGCTTCTATTCCCCTACACTTGGCCTTGTTGTTCAGTTAGCAGTCGAAGCAGGCAAACATTTACCCAGGACAAGAAATATATGTTAATTAGGGTCTCACGGGTGGAGCGCCATTCTATTGGCTAATACAACAATACGTCGTTTACCACATCTTGATTGGTCTGAAAACAAGGATTCCACGCCCAAATGTAAAATATGCTTAATATTCCAACTATTTGTGCAGCTAGTCAATTTCATTCAGAGCTCGTTGATTATTTGTTACATAGACAGCCAGAATGTTCTACTAAGCATCTTATGAACAACTCCTTCAAGAATTTTCTTCCAAATAATTAATTAAAATAACTGTCGTCTTGTGACTGAAAAGTGCCGGTGAATGATTTTATTAGTGATCTTGTGTCTCCTAATAGACCTGTTGTACCCACGCCTGTGTTGCACTCCTCTAATTAGCTGAGARGGACTATATCAAACTCAAATATTAAACAACTTTTCAATACAAGTCATAAATATTGCATTTATGATTTAAAGCAAATAACATTTATTGAGGATTTGTTGAATCTAACGGCTTCTAAACTTTTGATGAAAGCCAAGGGAGTGACAGAGTACCACATACGGAAATGAATTGTCAGAAATAACTTAACTATCACTACTTGATTTCGTTCAAGTGAAAACTATTATGGCTTCCGTCTTTTGATAATCTACGATACAGAGATCAGTAGATAAATCTTCAATCTTATAATTATCTATGAAATACCTATAGTTCTTTCTTTCGAAAAGTTGATATTTTCACTAGTGAAAATAACACTCATTCGAGTTTTCTATATAAATAGTGATTAAAAAAGGCTATTTTGACGACATGATTTGCTTTCATATATATAGTTATATGCAACGATAAAGAGAATATTACATGGTCGCTTGGAGATACGAATTTTATCTACTCCTGTTGAATATCTCTTTCTCTCTCTTTCTCTCTCTCCCTCTCTCGTACCGTTGATATCAAATTACCGTCTGGAGTAATGAATAATTCAGTACAGATGGGAGCGATTTTCAATATTTGGAAATCCTCMAGAAGCAAAGAAATCATAATTTGAACCCTGCATTGACTATTCGTAAAATTCCAGTACAGTCGGGAATACCCTCCTTCGGGACAGAAAACGATAGAATTAACAATCAATTTACACACAGGCTAAATGCTAAATGTCAATTGTACGTCTTATACAGCAATATGACTGAAAAATGATAATCGTTTTAAATCACATTTCTCCTATATTTAACAAATTGTGCATTGTTTTGAGTTGTATGTCCTCTTATTAACACACTTGACGTCATAGAATGTTCAAAACTCAAGTGGACCCACGAGCGCAGTATCTAGTCAATGAAAACAGACTGTGACATCATTACGCCATAGGGTAATTTCTACATATTGCTGTATAATGATTTTAGAATCATTTAAGCAATAAACGATAACTTGAAGCGGTTTACTGGTTAATAATAATAATGGTTGGAAGAACACGAGAAAAGATGTGTTAATCACGATCCGTCAGGCGAGTGGTTTACCTTTTCGAGTGTTTTCCCAACCATCCCAAGCGTTTATTTCGCCAATAAACCGCTTCAAGCTATCGTTTATTGTTTTTATATTATAGCAGAAAATTTGGAAATTTTTGACTGGCGTCCGCCATTTAGACTCTTTTCAAGAAGTCATTTAGAAGTCTTTCAAGAGAGCAGGCTGGTTTACCGGCGAAATAAACCATAGGTTTTCTCTTGAAATCCGCCAATCAGCGCGCGTGTTAGAATTGAGGTAAAATATAAATACAAATATCATATACGATTTCATATATGACGTACTGGTGCTAACAAGGCATGGATCACGACACGACTCGGTCACGGAACCTCGAATGCATCACAGTCACGGCACGGTGCGCTCACGGCACGAAAGCCATACAAAATCCGCAGGACAAAGCTCTGGTATAATGGTAGTCTAAACTTATTCTCATTTTAAGCCCCTTCTTAGATTTTTTTACAGCTTTATTGGAAATAAGCTTAGAACGACAATATGAAAAATACATGAATAAATAAGTAAATAATAAATAAAGTCTATTTAGTCCATAATAAATCTATCAATTCTAAGTTTCGTTCACATCAGTTGCCATTGCTATATCAGTTAAAAAAATTTGTCGGATACGATAAAATGGCGAATGGTTGCGAATGTCAATTGTCGAACGCCAGATTACAAGACCGATAGAATCTATAGGTTTTGCTAATTGATGGGAAATAATAACTGATTTATACTGTAAGACAGTAGGTGTCGTAAGCATTGGTTCCATTTCCATCACCCAAGGTGCCCTAGTACTAGATACAGCGCAACCATAGTCCCTTTCAGTCATGCTATATCTCAACGTTATATAATCACCGTTCTTCACCAAAAACATTTTTGAAAAAAGTGTATCAAGTCTGAATTAATAATAGACCAGTTGAATGTCGCATGTAAAGACGGAAAAATAACAATGAAAAACGATTTAGTTAAATAACAAAAAATAAAAAAAACACTTAAAAATTTTTCCTCATTACACGATAGTTATAAAAGTTATAATGCTTCAGAGAATGCGGAGGGGGMTTTTGTGCAAGCTTACATATATTTTCTGTTGCGTTAACATATGTCTTAAAGTGTACGTTTTTCATCTAGTTATTACCAATGGAGTTTTAATCTTCTTAAAACAATAGTAAGTCCCATGAGACGACCATAAGCTTAATGTCCTATTGTATTTGGTCTGGTACTATGGTAGCAATTCATAAAACAAATCAAAAGCCATTAAACCACGTACTTCCACGAACAACATCAAATGATGATACCATTAGTAATCTAACATGATATTGTATTAGTCTAAGCAGTAAAATGGACCGTGGAAAACAACTTTCGCCTAATGAAAGCGATAAAGTAGCTCGACATCGCAATTTGATGCACGAAATAGCTCTTCAAAAACAAATAAGCGTTATACAAAGAGAGGGTCGAATATTAGAAAGAGAGCTTCGTGAAATAACTAAAGTAAAAAAGACTTTGATGCAGATAAGTGATCCACTGAGAAGGAGAGTTGTTCAGGCTCAAAGAGAAGACATCGATGAACAAGAATTGGTAAACATGAGAAACAAAGCCACAGTACTTTATGGCTTACCAAGACAAACAAGCTCAAGCCTATGCCGCCAGMATMGTGCAAGTCATGATAAATCCAATAATGGTCTATTGAAAAAAGAAGTGTTGTTAAAAAGACGAGGGTCTTGTCGAACAAATTCAATATCTAAAAGGGAGCAATCAAAGCCGAATGAAATTTTGTCAAACAGCAATCATAGAGGATCGAACTCAAAGAAGACTTTGGAAAGTAGCACTTCTTTGCCAGCGATAAGCAGTCATTTAACATCAAAATTAACAAAAAGTGAATGTGGCGTTTCAGATGAGAATCAGACAGAGCAAAAACGCTCAGAAACGTCCATGACCGCAACACCATTGCGAAGACGAAGTCTAACTTTTCCACAGCCTCCGGCAACATCGCTGGGTCACCGGAGTGGAGAACAGCGTAATAATAACGATGCCAGTTCATTAACTATGGAGGAAACATTGAGAATCAAAGGAAAATTTCGTCAAATCGGTCATTCAATAATAGCAACGGCTTTATTAAAAGGTCTAAGGCAAAGAGGACAGTTGACGTCAGAGGCAATCCATAATATGCATAAACCCATCTCGTTTGATGAGAAAACGGCAGCTAGTGATGATGGTGAACAGAATGCCGATGGGGAAAAAGAGGTTTCGACACCTCCGAACGGTTTACAAAAATTCCGTAATTTGGCTCGTAAAACAATCAATGTAAACACTGTTCTTAGTCTTAAAAAACAAACAACGGATATTAAACCAACATGCACTGACGATGAACCATCGGCGCCGCAGCGTAAGCTTGGGATAGCTGGTGTTGCGCCCGTGACTGCAGTTCTATCAAAACAAACAGACCAGCCAAGTCGTCCATTAATGAATGCATCTACACAAGAACGAAGGAGAAAGACTGGCATTGCAGGGGTCGCTCATGCTTTTATGTTATCGAAGGCTTTGAATAACCCCCTCGATGAACCTCCCAAACAAGAAAAAACCGTCTGCTTTATGCAAGGAGCTTGGGAATAACACAACATTCGATGTTTCAATCAGAAATAAAAACGGGAAAAAGTCAAAGTCGGATGAAAAAATATATATTCAAAAACTGTGCTGAATCCTTCATAAAAGGCATGTAAAACAAAGGAAAGAAATAAAAGTGCGGAGAAATGTATTTTCGATCTCATTTCACCTTATAGCTCTGCAGTTCTTATAGCTTAGATTTACGGAGTTAGGACAAGTAAACCCACAAAAAACACATAATTGTGAAAAAGTGTACAGGGTGCACCGGACAAATGCTAAGATGTTTTAACGGAATAACGATGATGTTACACTAGGATYGTGGAAAAACTTTAGTGCAAATTTAGTTATGGCGAGGCAAACCTAATTCACAAGCCTAGTATTGATACATTGAGCTTCTAAATGATATATAAAATTACCATCACGCTTTTCAGAAAGGATTGGGGAATTACGAAAAATGTGCGAGAAGCATTACAATAACCTTAAAACGAAGATTCGGACGACGATTTGTCGTGTTTAGTGTGTATACTGTTCTGAAGGGATTTCAATATAAGTRAGATTAAGCACTGTTTATCGAATGGTGTTTATTGTCAAGATATACGATATTGATGATATCCAATAATATTGAACTTATCACTTAACAAGTCTTGCAGTTAACTGTAAGCTTCAAAAATATTATATTCTTTTAAAAATCTTTTGAAAATAATATATGTAAACAAAAATATACTATGAATAATAGTTAACATTATAACATTTAGTATATATTTGATACCGTTCTAGTCTGCGTAAGAACTTTAGGGGAGGGGAATCGGGGAGGAGTATTTTGTCGTTCATCATCTTAATGGTTTTCATTCCGTGACGGACACTTTTAACGCACTAGACTGATGTCACTAAACCCGTGAAACAAAACTTGACTATTAAAGTGTGATAGTCAAATAGACACAAAAGAAAACGATGCATTTGGAGCTTATTAGTGAATTTATACGGGTTTTTGACTTCTCTCTAAAACACTGAAAAAAATGACCCTTTAGACGATACAGAGTCTATGGTTTTAAGAAAGTGATTGACTTAAGTAAAAAAAGTCTTGAGATTGTTCTTGATGGTTTTCAAATTCGATGCATAGTTYCCTAGATACACGACCTTAATTATGGACTCAAATTCCAATCGACCTCGCGGTTCATTTACTAATATTTTGTCTTCAAAAAACACTGTTTGAGTGTCTTACTCTAACCAGTCCATCAGCATACGATAATTCAAATGAAGTGGCGTAAAGCATCTACTCTATCAGTGACATCCTGAACCAAGCCTTTTCTTGATGTCCGTGTTACTTTTGAAGTTCATGCCAACATTTCACCATTTTCCTTGAATTGTTCATCATTTCCACCCAGTGATCACACGCTCTGCCACGTGCATACATACGTCCACCAAGAAGCACTCGGCCAATCAGCTTGTCTTCTACCAGCCCACCTCCGCTGTGAATGACGGATATCAATAGTGTACTAGTGCCCAGATCATCCTCGTTCACCATGAAGTCGAATGATTCGTTAAACATTGGACTTTGGGTGTCTGTGTGGACTACGGTCTTCTTTGTTTTCATTACTTTGTTGCCAATAGAAAACGACACCTTGACAAAAGAGTCTGAAAAKAGAACAACAACGTTAGGATTATGCAAAGAGATTTGACATTGTGTTTATTAGTTCAGTCACTAACGGAGCGCGCGACACTACCATTCCTTCCTTATTTTTGGTGAATAGCATTTTTTTCGGCCAACTTCGACTAGTCCACTTTTTTCGTCAGTCCATGAAAAATACTCCGATAAGCTCCTTTAAATATCAAATGTACAATTATCAATGTTCTCTGGCCAGGATTAATATAACAATTTCATATGACTTTCTGACGGCATTCTTTAATTCCGTTACTAGATGATTCGACAGCATTAAACTATCTGATGTATCGTCCTAAACTGTCATAAAGTCAATTCTGTTCACGTTGTTTAGTTTTAAGACAACAAAAATGTCATATATATCATATTGTTATTTTTTGCAAGGTTATTCGACCTCAAGTTACCAAATATTATGACAATGTCAATAACATTTAACTTGCAAGCACAGTCTGGAGTTTTAAAAGAAAATGCTCTTTTGCTGAAATTGACAAAAACCTTTTATGCAAATGACTTTGCTGCTGTCTTTCAATTGAATTAAATTCAATTTATTTACATCGTGTATTTTAAATAATAAGTGATTCGGCTACATTGGTATCAGTTCGTAGTCCACTCGCTCTCGGGGTCCTYGAGGTCTAATTGATTCTTGGACAAAAAAATGAATGAAATAATGAATTATTTCAAAAAATTCGACTTCGCTTTTTGAATCTCCGACGTCATTTGACATGCTTGGCATGTTTGACGAGTGAAAATCAATTCACTACACGCTGGTGAAATCTGTGACAAAACTGAAAAATGGTCCTTTACATATGGATTTGACCCGTAATTCGAGGACTATTGAAATTAGACCCCGAGCGTAGCCAATCATAATGTACAATTTTCAATAATAGTCCACTATAGTACGGCAATACTAATAAAGATTAATAGTTTTTTTACAACTAGTACAAATGAAGATGGACAGCGTTAATAGCAGTGCCGGATCCAGGGGGGTTCCATGGTTTCC